ACCTTCAGAGGAAGACCAGACCCTTCTACAGGATCACTGCTTTGACAGAATCACGTTCATCACTGCATCAGGACTGCAGCCATCATTTTATGGGACTGCTACCAGCGCCCTGAGCAACAGGGTGCCAGGTTATATCCTGACTCTGTCAGTTCAAGGCAGTGTTTCAGTATCATTGCCTTGATTTTGATTTTCTTATTGAGTTGTAATTCTGGCTTAGACTCTCCCCCTGGTTTGCCCTCAAACCAGTACAAAACTTAGTGTGCTCATCCCTTGTTTTCCTCCCAAAAGAAGAATTTCCCATCCCCACATCTTTGCCAGAGGGAGGAGAAGGCTGAGCAGAAGAGGAAGATGCCCAGGGACACCCAGGCAGGTGAGGAGGAAGTCAGTGCCCCTTTCCCCCTCTCTCCTGCTCCATCTCCCAGCCCAGCATGGCCCCCAGATGCAGGACAACCCTGCAGCCAACACCATCCTGCTGGGGAAGCCCTGGAAGAATCTCCTTCCCCTTCCCTTTGGCATGGAGTCAAATCCCATCCTCTCCTTGTCCTTCTTCCTCCAGACAAGGAGATGAGGATGGAGACCAGGGAGGACAAATCCCCACGGCAGAACCTCATGGAAGAGGCTGTTTTGAGTGGCTCCATGGCACAGGAATCCAATGGGGATGAAAAGACACAGAGATCCCATAGGATGAGGGGCTCTGAGAAGGAAAGACCCCCCCTGTGCCAGGAAGATGGACAGATCTTCAGCCAGAACTTGGAGCTGGTGGCCCATGAGCAGCTTCATGATGGGGAGAAGCCCTACAAGTGCTTGGAGTGTGGGAAGAGCTTCAGGCAGAGGAGCATCCTGATCAGCCACCAGATGATCCACACTGGGGAATTGCTCTACGAGTGTGGGGAATGTGGGAAGGGCTTCAGCTACAGATCCACCCTTGTGACCCACCAACGCATCCACACTGGGGAGAGGCCCTATGAATGTGTTGAGTGTCAGAAGAGATTTCAGACTCGCTCCACCCTCCTCAGGCACTAGAGAATTCACACCGAGGAAACGCCCTTCTGCTGGCCCAACTGTGGGAAGGGCTTCAAGCGCAAAACAAAATCAGCTGAGAAGGTGGCACAATGAAAACAGACCAGAATGGACTGAAAACAATGCAACAGAAATAAATATTTAATTGTTGATCATATTTTTCTTTTTAAATTGTAATTCTAGCTTAGACTCTCCCCCTGGTTTGCCTTCAAACCAGTACAAAACTGAATGTGCTCATCCAGTGTTTTCCTCCCAAAACAGATTTTCCCATTCCTAAAAGACTGCTATATAGAAGAGAAGGCTGAGCGGTAGAGGAAGATGTCCCGGGACACCCAGGCAGGGGAGGAGGAAGTCAGTACCTCTATCCCCCTCTCTCCTGCTCCATCTTCCAGCCCGGCACAGCCCAAGGCTGCAGGACAACCCGGCTTCCAACGCCATCCTGCCGGGGACACACTGGAGGGATCTCCTTCCCCTTCCCTGTGGCACAGAGGCAAATCCCATCCTCTCCTTGTCCTTCCTCCTCCAGACAAGAAGCTGAGGATGGAGACAAGGGAGGCCAAATCTTCACAGCAGAACCTTATCGAAGAAGCCATTTTGAGTGGCTCCAGGGCACAGGAATCCAATGGGGAAGAAAAGCCCCAGAGATTCCATAGGATGAGTGGCTCCAAACCCAGGCCCCAGAGTGCTCCAAACCCAATGCCCCAGGCTCCAAACCCAAACCCAGAGTGCTTTGAGGAGGAAAGACCCACCCTGAGCCAGGAAGGTGGACAGTGCTTCAGCCAGATCTCAGAGCTGGTAGTCCATGAGCAGCTTCATGATGGGGAGAAGCCCTACAAGTGCTTGGAGTGTGGGAAGAGCTTCAGGCACAGCAGCACCCTGATCCGCCACCAGATGATCCACACCAGGAAATGGCCCTATGCGTGTGGGGAATGTGGGAAGGGCTGCAGCTGCAGCTCAGAACTGATCATCCACCAACGCATCCACACTGGGGAGAGGCCCTATGAGTGCCCCACGTGTGGAAAGATGTTTTCCACCAGCTCCAATCTCCTCCTGCATGAGCGGATTCACACGGATGAGAGGCCCTTCCGCTGCCCTGACTGCGGGAAGGGCTTCAAGCAAAATTCCCACCTCATCACCCACCGGCGCATCCACACTGGGGAGAGGCCCTACGAGTGTCCCCAGTGTGGGAAGAGCTTCTCAGACAGCTCTAACTTCACCAGACACCAACGGAGGCACCGGTAAGGGAAGCCCTTTGAGAGGCGTGACTGTGACATAAGGGCTTTGTGCTCGAGTGTTATCCCGCCCCTTTTCCCAGTAAATTGTTCTTTTCCCAGCCCCGGATCTTTGCCTTTTGCGCCTTCCATTGGAGGTGGAGAGGGCAGCGAGTGGCTCCCAGCCCTGGTGGCCATGGCAACAGCCTTGGGAACAGGTCCCTGGCTGGGGCTGTGGGAATCTCTTCCCTCTGGTGCCCAGGGACAGGACTGGAGGGAATGGCTGCAGCTGAGTCGGGGCAGGCTCAGGTTGGATCTCAGGAAAAGCATTTTCCCCAGAGGCTGCTGGGGCCCTGCCCAGGCTCCCCAGGGAAGGCTCCCAGCTCCAGGGCTCTCTGAGCTCCAGCAGCGTTTGGACAGCGCTGCCAGGCCCAGGCTGGCATTGTTGGGGTGTCCTGTGCAGGGCCAGCACTTGGACTCCAGGATCCTGATGGGTCCCTCCCAGCTCAGCCAATTCTGTGGATCTGGGATCCTGTGAGCCTGGGGATGGGGCTGCCAGTGGTTGCCATGGCAATGGGCTCTGGCTGCAGGCCTGAGCTGGTGTCCATGGCAACCAGCCCTGGCATGGGGTCTGCATGGAGATGCCGAGGGACTGAGCATAGCAACAGGGGGCTGGGGATGGTTGCCATGGAAACTGACCATAGCAACAGGTCCTGGTGATGGTTGCCTGTTAAGGATCAGATTTGTCACAGGCCCTCAGAGGGGTTCCATGGGGACTTCCCAAGAGTCTCCAGGCTGTTGAAGATCTGGAATGTCACAGGCAGAGACAGGGGCTCCATGGACACCTCCCAGGGGTTTCTGGGCATGGGAAAGAGCCCTGTGTTCAGAGGCACTCACAGCCATTCCATGGTGACATCCCAGGGCACCTTGGGCTGCAAAGGCACCGATCTGTCACAGGCACTCACGGGGACTCCACGGTGACATCCCAGGAGTCCCCAGGCTGCCAAAGAGCCGGGATGTCCCAGACACTCACAGGGCTTTCTGTTATGGGCACAGTGGGAGCTTCAGGCAAAGTTTATTGCAGACACTCCTGTTGGGTCTCGAGGTGCAGAGAAGATCCCCAATAGCCCCCACAGATCCCCAAATGTCACCGTGGAGTCAGAGATGACTCAGACTCAGATCAGAAGGCTAAGAGCTAAAAGCCACCCATTTATTCAATCCACTTATTTTATTCCTTTGGTGCTATAGGTGGACCTCATTGGTCATTAAATCAACACATTTCACATGCTTGGCTAATTAAGACAACCCCCTTCAGTAAATAACTTGAAAAAACCCAGTTTTTACAAACAGTGTTGGGACACCAGTTACTGATGTTTGTTTTATGTTGGGCCCTTCGGGGAGCTCCCGGGATGGGGGAAACCCTCTTGTAGCAGTTCTGTGCCAGAGAAAAGGAGATGCACGGGACTTTTTTGGTCTTCAGCTTCTTGTTTATTTTTATCTTACCTAAAGTTTTGCATGCTGTGTACACCAGGCTCAGAGTGCTGGAAAAGCACCACAAAATGGCCCCCGAAATGTATAGTTTCAAGGTCTTTTAAAGTTGTCTCATCCCATTAAATCTTAAAATGCACATTATTTCTACTTATTCACCAATAACTCATCCCTTTACTGTCCACGTAAGCTCTGCACTGTGCTTTCCTTGAACAATCACCCTGTGCCACCAACACGGCAGAAAATGGAGTAGATGAAGAAGGTGACGGGGACTACACCCAAATTCCTGCATCTTGCTTCCTATCTACACCATACTAAAACCCCCAAAACTTAAATTTCTCACCCAAGTGACTGTCATGATCCGTCCTTGAGAACGGCATTTGTGATGGTTCATTTTACTGATCTCAGGGTGCAAAAACCGACACAACAAGGAGATTACAGTTATAAGCAAAAACAAACGTACCTTTATCGAAATGACCACAGTAAAATGCGTTAGGGAGAGGGGGAGGGCAGAAAAGGGAAAGAATAAGGAAAAAGAGGGGAAAAGAAAGGAGGTGTATAGCTACCAGACATGGAACAACGTAGTCCTTCGAAGCCCAGTCGATGAAGCCTGTCGTGTTCCCATCAGGGGAGATCTCGAAATCCCTGGCTAACTGAGGGGTTATTATTATTGAAAATTGTGAAGGAGGGGGACACAAATACAACAGTCCATGTTCCCAGCAATGGGCGAGAACCATTGTTCTCTTGGTCCAGTGGTCGGCAAACATCTCACTTTGGTCGGCTGGCCTCCCCACACACACACCTTCCCCCCCTGCGATAGGGGTTTCAGTCTCAGTCCTTGGAAGGGGGAGCTTAGGGGGGGTCTCACATCTCAGTCCTTGAGGGAGAGCCTTCTCCCATCTCAGTCCATCTGTCCCAGTGGTTGCACGGTAACTGGAGGGACTTTTTTGTGGGGACCACCAAAAGCCATTCCAGAGAGAAAGTCCAGCCAGGGTGAGAGGTGGGGAAATTCCAGAAGCAGTGCTGCGAAGCGATGCAGGTGAAGGAGGGCAAGGTGCCCCTTTTCTTTTCATTGAGTGCAGTGTTCCATGGAGTGGGCAAACACAGGTATGAGCAATGGCTTGGCTTGGTGGGCAACAATTCAAGCAGGAACAGGATCCTAGAATAGGATCTTTCTTTCCCTGGTGGTCCCAGTTTCTGTCCTTTTCACGATGACCGGGAGGCAAAAATGAGGAAAATTTTGAACAGACACTTACAGTGACATACTATACTACTCTCTATTACCTATTTCACATTTTGGTAAATTGTAATCTACCTCAAAGTCTTGCAAGTCCTCTCCATGGGCGAAGGTTAAAGGCAGCATTTCTCTGGGTGTCAGGATTCCTCAGAGCAGACAGAGAAATATTTCCTTTGCCCTGGACTCCCACACATTTAACCTAAAAAACTTTAACCCTTAAGATGCTAAGTTACCCAAAAATGTTCCAGATAAGTAGGATTAGAAGGAGAAGAAATAGAGAACAAAAGAAAGACAGAAGATCTATAGAAGAACAAGCACATAGGAATCAACTGCTCAGGTTCCAGCATCACTGACAGAGGACCCCCAGCAGAAGGCAGGATCCAGACCATGGGCTGGCCTCGTGCTCCAGCATTTAATCCCCTGGGCCTTCATGGGCCTGCCCCTGGGGTGGGACTGCAAATTGCCTGTCCAATCAGAGTCAGGGTAGACACCAGCTGCTAGTGTGTGATTGATTGGCAGCTGGGCCAATCAGAGCTGGGTCAGCACTGCCCCTCTTGTGTGATTGACAGTACTTGGATTTGCCGCTTTTCTTTCCAATAGGAAAAAAAGATCCACCTTGATTCTGTTTCCCATGGCTGAAACTGGGATTCCACCTCCAATAGTTTGAATATCCAAGGATTTCCCTCCAGTGAAAGCAGCCAGGACAGACAGGTCAGGCTGCCCTTGGCCTCTCGGAGCTGCCTCTCATCTGCATTCCAACCAGTGGGGCTCTGGGCTTTTGTCCAATGGAAAAGAACCATCCTTCTTATCTACACAGAAATGACCAAGATTGGGCTTCCACCTCCAAAATTCCCTATATCCAAGGATAGCTCCCAGACAAAAGCTGCCAGGACTGACAAGTCTGGCTGGCCTTGGCCTCTTGGAGCTGCCTCTCATCTGCATTCCAAACAGTGGGGCTCTGTGCTTTTGTCCAATGGAAAAGAACTGTCCTTCTTATTTCCGCAGAAATGGCCAAAACTGGGATTCCACCTAAATCCCTATATCCAAGGGTTGCTGGCAGAAAAAAGCTCCCAGGACAGAGAGGTGTGGCTGCCCTAGGCCTGTGATGGCTGCCTTTCATCTGCCCCTCAAACACTGGTGTTCTCTGCTTTCCTTCCTACGGAAAGGAACACTCCTTCTCATCCAGGTGGCCATGTGTGAAACTGGGATTCCACCTCTAAAATTCTGTATATCCAAGGGTTGCTCCCAGGCAAAATCTGCCAGTACCATCAAGTCTGGCTGGCCTTGACCTCTGGTGGCTGCCCCTGCAACACTGGGGTTAGGTGCTTTCCTTCCCATGGAGATCCCTGGGACACTTTGGGAACCTCATGGAACCAAGGGGATCATTGTGGCACCACTGGAGCCCATGGAACCAAGGGGCCATGGTGACACAGCAGGACTTCATGGAACCCAGAGACTATTATGACTCTGTGGGATCTGATGGAAGCATGGAGACCAGTAGGACCCTTCAGGGCCTCGTGTCACCAAGGGGGCATTATGGCACCTCAGGGCCTCATGGAAGGGAGGGACCATTGGGACACTGTGGGGCCCCATGGAAGCGAGGGAACATGGGACAGGTCTGGCTGGCTGGGCCTCCTGGGGACCACCTGACAGGTCTGGCTGATCTTGGGATGTCAAGGGCTGCCTCTCATCAGCTCCTGGAGCACTGGGGCTCCATGCTTTCCTTGCTATGGAAAATAACTGTCCCTCTTTTCAGATGCCCATTGCCAAACTTATTAGTCTCCCTAAAAAAATTCCTATATGCAAAGGTATCTCCCAGAATAAAACCTGCCAGCTCTGGCTGGCCTTAGCCTCTGGTGGTAAACTCTCATCTGCCAGAGAAACACTGGGGCTCTCTTCCTTCCTTCCTATAGAAAACCAGCTTTCATGTTCAGGGACTATGGCGAAAATTAGAAATTGGACACCCGAATTCTGTATATCTAACGACTGCTTCCAGACAAAAGTAGCCAGGACAGACAGGTCAGGCTGGCCCTGTCCTCTTGTGATTTTCTTAGCCTATGAGCTGAATGTTTTCATTTGGAAACAACTTGGTGAGCACCCAGAGATCTCCCTAGGAGGGGTTTTGATGCCTCAGGCACATGACCACTACACAGGGACAAAGGAGCTCTGTGCTCTGTGCTGTTCGGGTGGTTTTGCATCATGGAAATGATGTCCTAAGAGAAGCTGC